GAGAAAATATTTGAATATTTATTTAAAATACTATTAATTATATTTTGCTGATCACTATTGAGATCACTATTTATATTGTATTGAGATATGCATTCAGATTGCAATATATTTATCGCATATTTTAATTCATTAGTTGTATTAAAGTTATAATTTGTTACTGTATTCACAGTATAATTACTCAATATTTCATCAGTTATGGCATTATTTTTGTCTATTATTTGAAACTTTTCATTCATTTTAAGAATAAATATTTGAATTAAATCTAATCCTATAATGAGCTCATAATTAGAGTTAGAAATTAAATGCAATTCACACGAATGGCAAGAGTTGCCAATTGTTATGTTAACTGTTGTGAGACCTAAACAACTATTTGTATTAACAATAGTTTTATATTTTAAACTATTGTTTGAGTTAATTGTTATAAACTTTAGTTTGTTAGCTAATTGGCTATTAATTACGGATATGTTAGCACCCTATCGTATATTGCATTAATTATGCTATTATTAATTATTGTTAATATTTTAATGAGTGGTAGTGTAGGCCTCGCATTCAGTTTAAATCAATGCGATTAATGTCATTCTCTGGCAATGAGTTTGCATTAGATTTAGTTTCAATTGTATTAATTGTTTTAGTGTTTGAATTGTTAGCACTGTTTGGAGTAACAGTTTTGCCTTTATTTCGGCAATCATTGGCCCAATGATAGCGACCTTTAAATCCGATATTTTCGCATATTTTGTGTCACACTTTGGTCACTCTTTGCGGGCTTTTGCTTATCATTATTAGCAAATGATTTAGTGTTTGGAAAGCGTTTTAAGTTATTCTCGGCAGTTTTGGCTATTGTGTAAAACTCTGCAAAGGTTTTGGGTTTTACTGCAATAAATGATTCTATCATTTTTGGATGCAAATTATGTACCATAAGTGGTATCATCTGAGCCTCAGTTAGTTTTGCCGCCAAACCGTACTTTCGCTTACTTTCAAAGTACTCTTTTATACAGAGTTTACATTGTATTTCAAGTTTACAAACTCTATAATCGGTTCGACAGTCTCGAGACCGAAGCGTGCAATTAGTTTAGACTTAATACTAAGATAACTATCATTCGAGTAGTTCTCGATATACCAGTTAAGGCTGTCATCCTCCAGATAGTTGCCTAACATGACTACCTTTTCGGTGTCTTTCCACTTATAATGATTAGAAATCAAATTAGAAATTGAACCAGTTTTCAATGGTAACCTTATCGCCGGTGCCTTTGACGATCTGTAGCTTCGGTTTACTTTTCTTAGATGTCTTCGACGAGTAGTAGTCCTCCATATCGGATAAGTCCACTTCAACGACATCTTTCCGGCCATCAGTTGCTGCGAGCGTTGGTTCACTTTTGTCGACCAATTCCTCGGCATCTGTTTGAGTCTCTTGTGTGGTATTTGTGTCCAATGCTGGCAATGGAGTGGTGTTTCTGTTGCGACGATTATTTCGTGCCATTTTCACTCACTATTCACTTTTGTAGCACTTTTTGGGCACAACTAAGACACAGATGACAATCCTTCCGAATTGTAATGTAATGTATGAATAGTTTTTAAAGTTTTTTGAAACACTTTTTGCGTTCAAATGAAATAAAGTTTTGTTTGAAGTCGTGAATCGATTTATAAAGCAAATTAAGTTTTATTTAACTTTTATTTTAAAAAATACAAACAGAATTAAATAAATTGATTAAAAATTAGTTGACAATCAGTGTCACGAATAGTGCACTCAATTCGTGTACAAATTAAGTCCCCCTTTTGTGTGCATTTTTGTTGTCCTTAAATACAGAATATTTGGTATTTTTCATGTATTGTCGGTGTGTTTGTGTGGGTGCGAGTGCTGGCTATTCTGGGGGTTGACCCCATTCAGGCCTTATGGTGACCTCCAGTTCCCATACACTTTGTGGGCACTGATGTCCACTTATACTGGACCTTCATTTGGTATATATTTATAAATACATATTGATGTTATAAAACTAAAAGTATTTGAAGTTTGGTTTATATTTCATATGAAACACATTTATTTAATTTAAACTAAACTATAATAAAAGTTTAGAAATAAGTTTTAAATGTATATCTTATAAAATGTTTGTGTTTTAAATCACATATACTTACAAATTAATAATATATTAAATAACATTAAATTCGAGAATATTTTGATGTTTTATTTCCAAGTTTTGCTATTTTGGGACAACTTTTCAAACTTCTCGCGAATAATACGTATATTTCCGGTCGAGACATTAGACTCAGTATTATGTCATACTACTCGACGCCCTCTTAGGGATGGCACCTATTCATTGTAAACATAATTAATTATTCTTGCTCAATTACAAATTATATTAGATTACCTGTATTTGCTGCGGGTTTTATATTTTCATGATGTGGAGAGACTAGACTTTGATTGCTTATTTTTTCCATTTGTAATTTATGTGTTATTATTATGTTTTTAAAAACCAAATCTTCCGAATTGTGTTGATTTATGAATTTATTAAATGCACTAATATTTGAGTCAATAATGTCCTTGCTTAGTGACCATTTATCAAATTTATTTAATATATCATTACACTCTGGCCTAAGGTATGACTCATAGTTAACCATTAGTCTAAAAATATCTAGTATAGATTTAATGCTTTCTTGTAGTATTGTGCTTTTATATTTAACCAGTTCACTTCCACTAAATTAATAAATGATTTTTAAAAAAATTAATTACAAATACAATTACTATTCAATACTTACTCTAATATAATATCAAACAATTCCATAGAAAGTATACCCAAACTATAAATGTCTACTTTTGGGGTATACTTTGATTGATGCAATTCTGGGGCCATATATTTGGGAGTTCCTTTACCTTTTGAGTGACTCTCATTAGCTAACAAATGCTTGACAGCCAAACCAAAGTCGCATAACTTAATAAATCTACCGTTCCTTACATTTTCAGCAATTAATATATTTTCTGGTTTGAGGTCTCTGTGAATGATCTGTGGATTTAATTCATGCAAATACTGAACACTTTCTAAGATTTGTCGCAATATTTCACACGAAATGAAATACTCGTCACAATCCATAGCTTCTCCTAATTGTCGACC